ATCACATCCTGGAACAGTCCAGGACCTTCAAGCACCGTTCACATCCGTATCAGAAGAAACATCTGGTTTGATCTGGAGAACGTCGTCAGTCCTTCAGCGAGGACTCCAACATAAGCAGAAATACTATGAGAGCTTCACCATGGTTTCTTCAGTTTAAAGGTGTGAGACTGGCATTCAGCTGGTAGATTCCTGTCCTGCTCACGTCTGAGTGTCTAACATCGAGTGCGAGGCCGTGCAGTCCCAGCGTATGGCCACAGGGTGTCATCCATCTAAAGGAGACGGAGGACGGCTGCAGCCAGGAGCCGAGCAAAGCACTCATCAATTTTATTGCTTTGAAAACAGTGGATTTTATATCCACCAGTCCACAGGAAACCATCAGCAGTTATCACATGTTTGGAATCAACATGTCTGAACATCTAATGTACCTCAATGAAAGTCTGCTTTAAACATCGATTTAGTCTTCACAGTAATGTGGCTGAATCACATTTAGAAACTTTGAGAGAGAACAGGATGTCTCAGTGAGGCGTCGGGACACCAGATACGTCCTCCAGCGTTGACTCTCCGTCTCTGGAAACACCATCCTGACAACAGATGTTCCTTCATCTGAGGAGGGCTGTCCAACATCTCAGTCCATCGTCTCCCATCGGAGCTCAGCCGTGTGGAGATCCGGTGGCTGCAAAGAGCACGACTCATTCAGTTACCACTCATGCCCTGCGGGGGGCGTCGTCGCCCTGGAGGAGGATAAAAATGTCTCATCAGGATCGCTCAGAGCAGCGTCGTATTGATTTGTGGTGACCCTCCCGTCTGGGGGGACCAGTGGACCTAAACCCTGCCAGCAAAACCTCCCAAACAGCAGAACAGGGTCACCGGATCTCCTCGCTGTCGGGTCTAAAGGTTCAGAGCTGGACTGGTTTCTTGGCCACACGTGCACTTCCAGACATGTGAAGAACACGGTGCCTCAGTGACCCCCGCTGTTGGTCTTTACATGTCCAACCAGTCGTCAACCGTCTGACCGGCTTCACATCCGTCTCCTCGTTATTCTGACTGTAATGAAACACCAACCAGTTGTGCAATATGTGAAACTCCTGCCATCAGCGAAGCCTCTTTCAACATCGCTCAGAGGTTTAGTGCATGACGCTGTGTCTGAATCGACTGCTCAGCGTTTTCATACGTGCTGCAGGGCGTACCTGGATGTTTACCTGTCCCACGCAGCGTACCTGTGTGGAAGCATGTAGGTTTGTTTCTCCTCTCATCCAGGTTTTTCCACCCATCTGTGTTTAATGTATGGAAACAGCAACAGCTCAGTGTCACGATGAGGAATCGACCTTAAACACTGATGACCAGAGTCCAGGACGAGCGTTTCCTGTCCCACATCATGGATCATTTACCACTTGATGATGTTTCACCGTTCGGATGACAACCGGCAGGTTTTTTCCTGCTACGTCCAACCGCTTGATTAGAAAATGTCTCCTGCTGTGTCTCCACGTATCCCTGACCTGCAAAAACTACAGATCTGTGACAGTCCATCAGTCCTGTCAGCTAGCAGCTAATCAAGTTAAAGTGTCCGAAAGCATGAATTGAATTTAGATTGCAGCCTTTTCTTCCCCCGATAAAGACAACGCTGCAGCCAAGGTTCAAGTCAGAGGGAAAAAACTGAATCCCATATAAATATACATTCATAACAACACTGAGAATGTTCGGCCTTAAAACTGTCCTTCAGAATTTTGATACGTCTCCTGAGCTGCGGAGAGGCTCGAGGGTTTATTTTTACTAGTTTAAAGACGATTGTTTAAAACTGGGTTTAAGTGTTAACATGCGGAAACCTTTGCGTGCGCTGGGCCCCCGGCTCCCCACCACCAGACATTCATTTGTGGAGTTATGACCCTGGGGAGCGAGGGGCCTCACCTTCAAAGCTGACCAGAGAAGCTGAACAAAAAGAAAAAAACCACCTCAGCAGACCCGCTCTGCTCCCTCCAAGTCATAAAACAAACCAGAGCAGCAAAAGTTAAATCTCTTTCCCCCCCACAGCCGGAGACCCTTTAACCCTTTGTTCCCGCCCGCCTCTCCGCAGACAGATGAGACTCAACATCCATGGAAAATTGCACATGGAAAGAATCCAGATCCGAAGGAATTCCAGTTGGGGGTTTCGATCCAGGGGTGCGCATTGGATACACTGCAAGTTATATTTCACCCAGGCAGGTACCCCTCTGTCAGCTGTCAGCTCCACATAAATACTGCGTCTTTGTGTGTTAAATGCGTTCCAGATGAGCAGTAAAGTCGGGTCACTGCGAAGGCCTCCGCAGCCCGACCAGCATCGGATCGTCTGATGGCGCTGAACTGACTCTGAGCCAAACGTTCTCTGGCTTCTGACAAAACAATGCCATCGTTTACTGTTCGGCATCAAGCGTGATTCATTTCTAATCTGTGTAATATGTGGTGGCCGTAAAAGGTCCAAAACACTGAAAGAATTAACAGGATTTTGTCAACTTTCTCGTGTCGGACAGCAAATTAAATCTGTAATTTCTGTCCATTTTTACGTCTAGAAATCTCGTCACAGAACCCAAAGAATCATCGTGTTTGTCCAACTCAGCGCCCTTAAAGCAAAGCAGCACATCAGAACCTCTGAGAGGCTGAGACCAGAAAACTTTGGCATTTCTGTCTGAAAGTAAATCAATTATAAAAACCTGATATGTAGGAACATTCAGATCCAGTGCAAACAAGAGTCAAGCTCATTGTATATCCTAACATACTTAACCAATAAAGGCCGTTCTGATTCCTGTCGGGGAGGTCACGGCGTGTAGGGAGCGATTGCTTCATAGCACAGGTGCTGGAAAAATCACGAGGAGGATTTAAATATCAGCTTTAACAGTCTGACGAGGAGCCAGAAAGCTGTTCCTGCACAGTAAATGCAGCCATTATGTTCTGTTGCTTTAACAGCGTCGTATCTCCTCATAGGTGGACTTCATGTGTCAAGGACGAAACGTGGAGCGAGCATGTGAATGTGGCCGAGGCCCCCCAACGGTGGGACCACAAAAACACTGAGGGGCGAGGGAGGGAGGAGTGCAGGGATGTGATCTTCCCTCTATCGGATCTGAAGGAGGAAACAGAGGAGATGCTGTTGTCTTGAGTCGCTCTCAGTTTGGTCGACTTTATTCCGGCCGTTAATCTCAAACATCACGGGACGTCTAAAGCAAACAAACCAACTCTGATTTGTTTCAATGCACTGATTCATGAGCTCTGTTTTCTACTGACTTTCTTCTTTTATTCACAATGAGCATCTTTGTGCCGTCAGCAGAGTTTCTAGCAGCCCGTCGTGTCCCAGCTGTGACTTTGCCTCCTTAATCCAGAGCTGACTGTATGAATAACGGCACCGTGCGAGCCGGACACCCGGGAACCAGACGACATGTTGTGTCAGCGCTCTTATCCGGTTTCACGAGTCGTCTGCGTTCGAGGCATCGCCCCCCGTTGTGTCTTCGCTGCGTCGTGACTCGAGCAGTCGAAGGTGTTTTCCTCCAGTTATCCTGTTTCATGCAGACTTGGGGGAGGTTTTATTGGGACTGTTTCATTCAAACCAGTACAGAGAACTGCAGATATTTCAGTATCTGAAGGCGCCAGATTCCAAGAACGCCGTCACGTCTCGGCTGCTCGTAACGCTGCTTCCCCGTCGTGGGATTGGTGCGCTAAGCCCTGAAAACATTGGTGTGTTTAGGCCCTTATAGGTGGATATATCACTCAGCATAATAGGATGAAGTGTGATTATCCTCATTTAATTTTACTCCTCCTTCTTCTATTATCCCCTTAAGAGGTCAAAGGCTTAGGAAGGGGCTGTGGAGAACACAGGATGGCTTCATTGCTGCAGCGTTAACCGCAGACCTGTAATCTCCACACAGTTTTAAAGGCGGTTGGGCACTAATTAGACGAGCAGTGTTTCAGCCTGACAGCAGACAGCGAACTGGTGTGCAGAAGAAAGTTGATTTCAGAGGATGATTCGAAGCTTTTCTCTGTGTGGACTCAGAGCTCTGCCAACAAAACACATCGTAGGTTCTTTACCTTGAAATCTGAATTGTGAATCAGCAGGAATCTGCGCTCCAGTCGAGCAATGTGCTGCTCAGAAGGCTCTGAGAGGCTGGAGACTTTTATATTTGACATCTTTTTCATTTTTGAAGGGATTTCAAATGTTCAGCTTTCCCACAAGTTGAGCTCTGCTGTGCAGGAAATTCAGCATTCACTCTTTTTTATTCTAAGAGACTAAATGACTGTAAAATCAGCACACAGCAGGAAAACAGAGAAAACACCAGCTCCTCACCTTGCATGAAGACAAACAGCTGCACAGTTTCTCTTTAGAATAAAACAGAGCTGCACTGGAGGAGTAGATGAAAGCATTTTATTGAATGAAACAGAAATCCATAAAACAGAATATTTACAAAACGTCTGCGCCACGCAAGGCAGAGAGCAGCACCTCCACTGTGGTCTCCAGTATGAGAAACATCAGTACCGGTTCTCTGGTTTGATCCCGTTTAAAAACCGAACTTCACAAAAAATACTGACGAGCAAAGTGCAGCTGCGCACATGTCAAGATCCTGACGGTTAATTACAGGCGCATGTTACACACGGAGGGAAAAAAGAGGAAAGGAGGGAAAATAAAAATAAAATAAAATAAAAAAAGATCAGAACGTTAGACACACAAAGTGCTCGTGTTCACCAACAAACAAGGTCCAAACAAAACTAACCTTCTGGATGTCCAGATGTCCATCACGGAGCTACTGCAGGACGTCCTGATCTACTTTAATCCAGCCTTATAAAAATAAATACACTGAAACCATTAATGACGGAGACACTCTACCTACAGGAGTTATAATACTGAAAAATTGCAGCATTTTCTTTTCTTTTTTTTTGTAATAGCAGCTCTAAAAAATATGAAAATCGAACCTACACATGAATAACTAGATCACTGGATCCTTCCAGCGTGTGTCTGTATTGATCCAGCCAGTCTCTGAGCTCGGAGATCCGGTACCCCTCCGGTCCTCTGCCTCCCTGGTAAACTATCTTCCCCTCCTGCAGAATATAAAGTCTGTCAAAATAAGCTCCGTACGCAGCGTTGGAGGAGTTTTCCATGCTGTCGACCACCACCAGGCAGCCCGGCACCTCCAGGCGCATCAGCTGCGCGGCGCTCAGCCGGTCCTCCAGACACCGGTGTTTGGGGATCTGGTACGGCGCGTCGGTGCTCATCCAGCCGTCGGAGGGATGCGCCTCCTCGATGTACACAACTACAGAGTCTGCAATGTCTGCGTTCTGCTGTACGACCCCCTGGAAAGCCTTGAGACGCGCCATGAACGGTGGTCAGGTGCAGCTGCCAAAGTTGAGGATGAGCGGTCTCTGGTCCTTTGCGTAGTCGAGGATCCGGCTGCGCCGCTGATCCTCCAGCTGAACTACTTCGGTGTTGGGCGCTCCGTGTCCGAGGTGCGCCGCTTTCAGAAAGTCCAGTTTGTGGCCGTGCCAGACTGCCTTGAGGGACTCCAGGCTGAAGAGGCGGTTGGAGTCCGATATGCACAGAGGAGGATCAATAGCATCGCCCTCCTGCTCCCTCATCCTGAAGAAAACCCGCTTCCTTATGCACAGAAAGTCCAGCAGCCAGAACATGACAGCTGCCACCAGAAAACGGGGCAGCAGCACTAAACACACCACAGCGTTTTTAATGGCTTTAATAGTATTCATGATCAGTCAGGAGGACAACCCGGACGGGTCGTGCGCTGTGCCACGATCTTGTGGGTTGAAGTTGGGTTACTTGCAACTTCCCCTCTTTTTATAGCACCGGCAGATTTGAATGAATCACACCCCGCCTCCAAACTGGGGCCGAGGCCTCACATGGTGGGGATTACCTTCTGTCAACTCCACAGCTTTGAGTCACAGCCAAAATCCAAGGGTACAGGAGAGGATGCACCGCAGCGGCCGAGGCTGTCATATTTGTTTTAATCATCACACTGTTAAGACTGATGTCTAAATCCAAACGGCCTGCTGCTGTCAAGTTCAGCCAGACTGAGAGATAAGAGGGGAGGAGGTGTGGAGCATCATGAAGAACTACATCTCTGGTGACGTGAAGTCTGTCTGAAACTCTCACATCTTTAAAAGGCACACGTCTGAAAACAGAGCCAGACTTCTGTGTGTGAAATGTTTCCACAGATTGTCTCAGATTTTAGGAGAAGACACGTTTTAAAGCCTCTGGTCATAATGAGGTCCGACTCCTGTGAGCTGTGGTCCGGTGATGTGATGAGCTCGTTCCTCTGGTTTGAGCCTCTTCACACCGGCAGCACGTCTCAGGATAGATTGAACATTTTGCTTTTTACTCTCACAGCCCTTCGTAGCTCCTCTGAGCTGTTCCTCTGACGCTGGAGCACCACTGCATGCTTTCAGATCCTCCGTGCTGTGAGGCCCTGAGGCTCTGGGATGACCCGCCCGAGGAAACCGGGTCAGCTGAGTCACTGACCTCCTTAAGTCTCTTTTTAAATCTTATTTATAACAGTTTGAGCTTTGAACTTTCTATTTCTTGTGTAACTGTTTTTTGTTCTTTAACACTTGATGATTTGATGACTTGTTGGTCTGAAGCTGCCTCTGCGCCCATCAGGACGTCCTGTTGGTATTATTCTAGTAATCAGACACCTCAGAGCATGGATCTGGATCTGGACCTGGCTCGTGTTTGTGCAGTCACACAAACTAAACCTCTATCTGTGCTCAGATGTTGTTTTTTTTTAGAAGTGTCCTGGCTGATGTTTGAAGACCCATAAAACTTTAAAGAAGTCTGAGAACAGTCTCTGCTGGTTGCTCGTGGGCTGTTTGAAGAGCTGCCATGTCAGTGCAGCCTCTCTGGTCTCTACACACTGTCCATGAAGTCATACGCTGAGCTGGTGCTGGACCTTCTGATCCCAACCCGGGTCACGGTTCTAACACACAGCGACTGCAGAGCCCGGGATCACAATGAGCTCTATTTATTTATTAGATTATTTTTTAACTTTCTTTTCTTGTTTTTACTTATCAGATCTTTTATCTTATTTCATATTTTAGAGTTTTTCTCTGTAGCTCCAGTGTTTCCTGAGGGGGGACCGGTCTGCTGTCCGCGGGTCGGCCCGGCTGGGTGGGGGGCTCCTCCATGTGGGGGTCCTCCTGTCTGTCGGGGTCGGGGGGTCCAGGTGCCGGTCTGCTGCTCCTCCCGGTGTGGACGCCCCCAGTGGTAGCGTTTCCCA